TAGCTGAATACCATACTCGTATTAGAAAAGTGGTAAATAAAATTTGGATGAATTTGAAAGAAGAAAAGAAGAAAAACATGGGCAGTTGGAACTGCACTGTGATACTTTGATTCTTGTAACGTGTTACATGAATCAATCCGGTTTTGTCTACAAAATATATCTGAGTAACTGAGCTCACCTACTGACGCCAACAACAAAATATTTTGCCCCTCTTTTCCCCTCAAATCTAACAATCCTCTTTCCTTACCCCCTAAAATCTTCAAAGCCAGGTAATTGAACACCATCGCTACCTAAGAAAGAAGTAAATAACAAAATTTGATGAATTCGAGAAAGAAAAAAAAATGGGCACTCGGATCGAGACTGAAATAACTTTCCTAATGTAACGCGTTTTAGGTATGTATCACCTGTACGGTGTGGTGCGTACTCGGCTGCAATACTGTATGCTAATTGGCTAGCAGACGCGCGGAGTTGAAAAAGCTGCAACTTGGGCCGAACGCGGCAGACATGATCTTTGTTGGTTGCCAAGTTGAAAGTTTTCGATTGTCGATATTGTAGCTTTAAATTCTTCCTTTCAAGACATAGCTCTCTGTTTAGCTTCAATGTTAGAGGAAACTGAAGTGGAGATAGTGGGGTTGTTTTTAGACTGTTTGAGAACACCTTAGTTTAGTACAACATTCGGGTGGTATTTTCATATCTCAAGACGATAACAATTAACTTTAAATAGAAAAATTGAATAACAAGCATTCCAAGAAATTCTCTCCTGGTATATTGAATTCCTTTCTATTCCTTCTGCGTGTTAACTTCACATGCTTACATCTTTCACAATAATTAGAATCCAGTTCTTTGTTCTTTCTGCGCTGTAATTGTCATTTTATAATATAAATTGCATATCAACACGTTGTGGTTTTTACTTCAAGGAGAGAGTAGCCTACTTGCAGATTTCATGAAACAAAACAAAACAAAACAGTCAAACAGATTTTTTCTTTCAAACTCGAAAACTATTGATATTTGAAATGATGACAATTTTAACTATGTCCATACACTTACTGTTTATACCATTTCACCACTTCATCTACTTTCTTCAATCGATTTATTCAACTTACAACATATTTTTTCCTTTTTTTATGTGTCAAGAATGTTAATAGATGTCTACTTTTGTTTTATTTTCATATGACGAGGTATTGCTCAGTTTTTCCCCCAATTCTCGTGTTCAATTTGGTTATAAAAGATCGCTTTGATGGGAGAGTAGCTGCCCGGGGATTCGGTATGGAAATGAGGCATGCAGAGGGTCTCATCCATCGGAACACTCCACGCACGCCCGGGAAGATTCCCGCCATCTGTAGCCTCTTCACCGGCTACTCAAGTATGATACTCCACCGCGTGTTTTAAATGCACGCTAATGGCAGTTAAAAGCCCCGTACGACGGGTGCAGCGAAGGGCGAGGATTGTGGGCGCCTGTCCGCACGGACGCTTAAAACACGCATGCGCGTGGGTGGGAGAGTGGTGCCCGATCAGTTTGCGCGGTGCGTGTAGGCGCTGCGCGAAATGGGTGAGATGGGGTAGGGGTACCAAGCTTTTGGGGGCAGTGGGAACGGCGGGGTAAGGGAGAAGAGAGTGGAATCGGGAGGGAGGGGATTATGTCTTGAGGTTTTAGGAAAGAGGGAGATAGGCGAGTGAAGATGGAGAGGTTAGAACACTGTGAATAAGAGGTTTTTGATACCTAGCATGCAAACAACAACGACAATAATGAATACGTAACGACGTAAAAGATGTGTACATACCTCATACGGACGCCAAACCTTCAAAATCATTCCATCCTTTAGGATATAGGACTCGCAATATATGTTGAAAAGCAAGACTTTAGATCAGGTTAAACGAAATTATGTCAAAGAGTAAACATTAAAGTTGGAGGAGGAGATGTGACACAAACACCCCCCCCCCCCCCCCCCCCCGATTTAAAAATGTATTTTTTTAATAATTTGAAGGTTTTCAAGTCTTCTTATTCTGTTAGATTTGAAACCTTATGTGTATGAAGTGGGATCAAGGGTTGCCGAGAGGATTATATATAGAATGAGAGGGTAATATATCTATAACTATTGTGATGATGACGAGAATGATGAGTTAATGACGAAAACCATGATAATGATGACGATGTTGATGGCGTCATTAAGAATTATTTGATTAACGTTAGCAGTGATGGTGATGGTGGTGACGGTGACGATAAATTATGGATGTAATGGTTGGTGATGATGATGATCATGATGATCACGAATGTAATGATGATGATGATGATGACGGCGACGATGATGAAGATAATGATGACGGTGATGATGGTGATGATAATAACGATCAAGCATGATAACGATGATGGTGAGTTGATGATGATGATGGTGATGATGATGATGATGTTGGTGATGATGATGATGAATGTGAGGATGACGATCATTGTATATAGTAATGATGATGGCAATGATGGTCATCGCGATCATGGAAGTAGGTCTAGAGATGATTGTGGTGTTAATGAAGAAGATGAAACCTAAATTCAAAATAAAAGACCTTAACAACCCTCGGCATGCTTGGAAACTCTCATAAATAGAGTCAAAACAATACGGCAAACTGAAAAAAAAGGCAATCATGATGTCGGTCAGATGGGCTGTTGTACGGGCCTATACTGGTTTGACGAGGTACTGTAATTTGAATTGATTGATCTACGTTCGATTTGTTATAAACAAAGCTTGGCGAAGAAGAGGATTGTAACTGATCTTCATCATCCTCATCACCATTATCCTCATCACCATCATCCTCATCACCATCATCATCATCATCGTCATTACCATCATCTTCATTATCATCATCATCATCATCTTTATCATCATGATTATCATCATCATCTTTAGTAGTATTGCCATTAATATTTTCATTATCATTATCAATATTGTAATCATATTTATCATTATTATTGCCATTAGTATCAATTATTATCATCATTATATTTCAGTGGGCTACTAAAAGTCCACAATCACTACGGTCAAAACTGTCTACAAAATCAATCTATAAATTTCATAAGCTCTTCGTGATATATCACACCATTTAAAATAGCGTTTTGATTAACCGAGTACTGGGGTTGTATTGTCATCGCATCGAAATTCTTGAACAGATGGTCGGGCGAGCTCAGGGCCAGTCTGGTCGGGTTTTTCGACCTGGTCCGTTGTGTTGGATCAATACATACCAGAGCATTGAATTCATTAACGAGATTCAAGTGAAGAGTTAAGTGTTTAAATGCTACAGGGTGTAATGTTTCATTTCTCGAGCTCTCAGTCATATGGGCGGTGGGTTGCTCACCCACCCCACTCTCTCTCTCTCTCTCTTTCCTTTGAATATCCGCACATATTCCTTTTACTGTTGTATTAGTACCATTTTGTTTCTCTCTCTTCGATGCCTCCTTCTCTCTCTCTAATTCTCTCTCCCTTTCCCCCTCTCTACCCCTCTCTCTCTTCCTCTGTCTGTGTTTCTTCACAACGTTCTAGTTTCATGTCCCTCTCTTTCGCCCTCTGTTTCTTTGTTGTCATATTCATTGCTTCCTTACATTTAAGCATAATATAAATGACTGCCATTTCTTTCCTTTTATCTCTTTTAAAATAATTTTGTGAATAATTATCCTCTCTCTCTCTCTCTCTCTCTCTCCTTCCCTCGATTAAACTGCTTTTGTTGATTTCTATTCTCTCTTTCTGTATCATTTTTGTACATACTATTCTTTTGTTTTTCATCTTCGTCTTTACATTCTTCAGTCACAAGATTTTGATTAAAAAACACTTTTTTTTACCAACTTTAAAGTATTAATTTTATCTTCAACTTTGCAAAATAAAACATACATGCATACCATTATCTTCCCATCGTCCTATTCTAATATCACAAAACCATCGGCAAGGCCGTAGAAGATCAAAATCCTCGCATCAAACATTTATAGAGCAGAATTTCTCTATCCACTTCTGAAACAGTCGTGTCTGTAACGCGTGATTTTTTTTCTTCCATTGGCGCGTTCGATCTCGCACCGCGTTATACCTTCTCGTATATACTGCAGTGTCAAACGCCGACGCGTGTGGTGTACAAACGTTGCCCGAAGCAATTGGGAAATAAAAGTAGCAAATTTGGCGAACAAATGAAATTAAATTTATCACACTTTCCAACACACCAAACTCGAGCCTCCATTTAGTAAATTAGGAGGAGATAGACGCTCAATCTGAGGGCGAAAACTTGCGTGGGTTTGGGATAGTGGGGAGAAAGCGTAAGAGATGAAGAGAGGCAGAAATTAGAGCAAATTTTATAATGCCTTTTGGCCAATTGTGACAGAAATTGGAACTTGTTTAAGGGGATGGAGAGGGGAGAAAATGAGCAACAGAGAAATTAAGAGAGAAATAAATAGAAAATGTGTCATTTTTTTTCTTCATTTTTAAGAAAAATATATATTTGTTGTTCGTTTTCAACTATATTTTTTGTTTTGTTTTTCAATTTACTGTGTTGCCTTCAACAAAAGTAAAACAAAGAATGTTACAAAATATACTGTTCCCGGAAGGCTTTTTCATAGAATTGGGGAGAAATATATTGAAATTCAATAAACTCCATTAAATTATAGCTCTTGATTGTTTTAATCAATCGTTGTCTTGCAACGAAAAGGCCTTTGTATGTAGAACATATTTATATGCGAAATATTAAAAAGTCTATATCTAACGAGACAGAAGTTTCAGTTTTGTAAAGGCTTAAAATAAGTGCTAAAAATATTCAAATAAAGTAAGTAACGAAACATAACTGAATATGTACACAGACAGTTCTCTTATTGGTAAATAAATGAAATGATAGATATAAAGATATCACAATGAATGAATATTTAAATTACTAGGTAAAGTTAACTTCAGGAAGAGAAAGAAAACAACTAATGAAAGAAAAGTGAAAAAAGGCCCAAGGAAAAAGAGCAAAAAATAGCAAAAAAAGCCCAAAAGGAGAAAATAAGACAGGAAATAAAATAATGCACGGAGAAAGAGAAACGGCATTCGGGCGGGCAGTCAATCTACGGTGTTTTTAAATTGTCTCCCAGGCTTTTGCTTCGGGCCTTTTCAGTAAATTGGCGTTAAATCTAATCTGTAATTGCCTTAAATGCCTGGAGCTGAAAGACTATCGGCACAATAATACGTCACAGGACATCAATAAAGGAAAGGCTCGTAAAAAGAAGAAAACTGGCAGATAAGAAAAAAGTATTATCTTGACCCAAGCTTTATGGCAAATTGATTTTTAATCATTTTCCTTCATTGTTTTCTTCTTCTAAAGCTTCCTTTTGATTCAATCTTCTTCTATGTATTCGTATCATTGTTGTTGCTGTTATCAACATTAGGCAGGCCTAGTGTTTTCGCTATAAATACCAAAAATAAAAAATGAATAAAAGTTTTAATGAAGAACACTGCGGGTGTATGCCACATGGTTCACTTTACCACAGTTTGACAATATTTTTTTCTTCTTTTCATTTAGATGCATGAAGTTTTGACCAGAATGGTATACGCCTTGTGATCACAGACTTAATAACATAGTGATATTACCAGAGTGTGATCAGTACACATATTGACTTTATAAAGACCTTATTTGATAATTGGTTTAACAATGAGGAAACCTTATTCATAATTATGTCACATTTGGTGAAGAAATGTATTTTACAGTGTGGCAAATTGTGAAAACCTTATATAACGTTGCCAATACAGTTGGAATAATTTTTCTTTACCTCTTTTCATGAAGTGTTTCCGATTTCCCGCAAGACCATATGATTTACTCGTGATGGATAACGTTTGCGATGTTCTCGGCACTTTATTGATCAAGTTCTATTACTCTTTTATTGATTAGTAAAGATATGACAAGGTATACACTGTATTAATCAAGATTAGAACAAAATTTTCACAGTCATTTGATGAAAAGAGGTAAAGAAACATTATTCCAAGTTCATTGGCAACAGTGTGTCACAATGTGTAACATGATGTGGGATGATGTGAGAAAAAAGATTTTATAATGTGTGGCACAGTGTGAAAACCCTATTCAACTTACTTCACTATGTATGACACAAGGGAAAACCTTCTTTCACAATATGTTACACAGCGTGATAACGTTACTTCAACTATGTCACTCATTGTTAAAGAACAAAAAATATTTCGCAGATTATTGCACAGGGTGAAAAGCTTAAACCACACTTTATTATGTAATGTGGAATTGTTGTGAAAAACTCCTAATTTCACACTCATACACATCTCATACAATGTGTAAACCTTATTTCATACTACGTCACACAGTTTGTAAACCTTATTTCATACTACGTCACACAGTGTGTAAACCTTATTTCATACTACGTCACGCAATGTGTAAACCTTATTTCATACTACGTCACACAGTTTGTAAACCTTATTTCATACTACGTCACGCAATGTATAAACCTCATTCGACACTATGTTACACTGTGAATTCTTATTTTACGCCATGTTACAAAGCATGGAAACCTTAATTCACGATGACCTACTGAATGCAAAGACTTCATGTATATAAGCTAATGTGACATAGTTTTATAGTGTGCAACCACAGTGAGGCCACACAATAGGCCATTTTCGTAATGTAATCAAATAATTTAATGCACAAATCTTCGTTACGTGCCTCGTTACATTTTTGTCATTCACCTGTTACTATTCTTAATGTGAACTGTATATATTACGTGTTTCTAGGTAGGATAAGCCATACTGTTTGTCCAATCTAGCAACAAGTAATGTACGCAATTCGCATTCTGACTTTAAAAATACAATTATCCATAACAGGTCAATTAAATAATTTGTTACATGAAACTTAAGAAAGATTTGTGTATTAAATTTGATTTCATTACGAAAATGGTATATTGTGACCATTTTCCTAGTAGGCCTATGCTATGTTCTCATAGTGAAAATACATTGAGGACCTTATATACCAGTTTGTTATTATATTGATGAAACATATTTTGTCTATAGGCTTATATATTACAGATTCTTCTATTACATATTTCATGCATTAGAATAGGCCTACTCATTTTATTCCGTGCAAACCCATAAATTCTACATTAGCAGGAATAATTATGATGATCACATTCAACTATCGAATAGGTCTCGTGTATCTATTCCTCTTTGCTCTCTTTCTCTCTCTGTGTCTGTATTTCTTTCTCTCTCATTTAAACCTTGTCAATCAATGTTCACAATTTCGTTGATATTACAGACATCACTCCAAAATCATGTTAATGATATGACATGTTTATATTCATCCTCACGGTCCTCTATTATCATCACACAATACCGAGCAATTTACCACATTTAATCCGGGCACTTCATTAAAATCATGCTCGCCCCGAAAAACAGAGACCCATCTTACGAAAGCAACATTTTCACCCCTGAAACGCTTTCACGTCGAGCTGAAGCCCGCGATCTCGCCGAAAGCCCGGCGGCGAGCCAGGCGAGCGGTTCAGGCGTACAGACAAGGCACTACACCGCTCCGTGCTCGCGATGTCGTGTGTCTTATGTACACTGTTCCCCATTAACTTTACCGGGCCGCTAGCAACCCTAACGGCGAGTTATCTCCTCTCCTCTTTCCTGCGCCCTATTCGCCTAGTTATTAAAAGACGTAAAAGAGCGCACATTCACGCTTCATTTCGTGGTGGAGTTTGCAAAATACGAGGAGAAGATATTAGAGCATTTTTTTTACCGATGAAATAAATTTCTAGTCACAGTTAAAAGTTTGGATAGTCCTGCGGACTTGCTCTGAGCAAGCCAGGAAAAATACTGTTTTATTTTTAAAGTAAATATTGGGCGATAAATTGAATAGGATGGTTAAGGTTTGGCGTGCTCTCTTCTTCTCTCTCGTTGAAGCGTTGTCTTTCTCCTGCCATCGTTTTTATTCTCGCCCACTTTCTTTCTGCTTATAATCATATGGCATTGTATGCTATTATCATCTCCAAAAATTTGATAATTATCAATCCTTTAATAAGCTTCATTCTCTACAAAATGTTGTTATATCATTCATTATATTATCCCTCATCTCTTTATCTCTCCTTTTTTCTTTCTCTCTCCCTGCTCTCAATGAAATACGTCAATTCTTCTTCAGATCCCATTCTGGCTGTATATGTCTATGCCACCTCTCTGGATATCTCTCTCTCTCTCTCTGTCGCGTATTTGAGCATGTCTCTTTTCTTGATATCAACAAATATATTTATGAAGCACAGACACATCCACACGCACATACACACAATAGAGAGAGAGAGAGAGAGAGAAAGAGAGAGAGAGAGAGAGAGAGAGGGGGGGGGGGAGGTGATGATGATTATGATGATGATGATGATGATTATGATTATGATGATGATTATGATGATGATGATGATGATGGTGATGGTGGTGATGATGATGATGATGATGGTGATGATGATGATGATGATGATGATAGTGGTGATGATGATGGTGGTGATGATGAGGATGAAAATGATGATGGTGATGATGGTGATGATGGCAATGATGATGATGATGGTGATGATGATGATGGTGAAGATAGTAATGATGATGAAGATGGTGATGATGCCATGATGGTAATGATGATGCTGATTATGATAATTAAATAATTTGTTCATCTTGACTTTCACTAATGAAATGGAAGTGTCAAATCCCAGTGTGCATGGTGATACATGTTACCATTCAAGGCATTTTACTTATACTTTTGTGTCTCGACCCAGGTATACACTGTGAGAAAAAAAATCACCTAAATGTTTTGATAATATTGTTCCTCATGTATGGTTGCCCGGCAAAATGCATTTATATCATGAGAATATTATTTACAGAACACGTATACATGGTACATGGTATGCAAATACAGCCAGACATATATATTAAGGCTCCCCAAGTGGCCACTGTCGACTGGTAGACTTATAGACAGGTTCTAAAACACGGATTGTATTTCTCTATAGGGAGACAAATGGCATGAACGCTATAGACAGGTGGTCTTTATATAGAGGTAGCCATTAATACAGTTTTACTGTATAAACTAAAGCAATGATCATGATAATGAGTCTGGCTACTTTGGTATAATGATAAATTATCGTGGGAACGATTACGGAGATGGTTATCTATAGTCGCGTACAAAGGGATCGTGTACAGTGCGTGATGAGATTTTGGTGCCGTGGATCTTTTCATGTTTTTCTTTTTTTTTCTTTTTTATAATAATTTAGTGTGTCATATGAGTATGAATTTAAAAGGTGTTTATTGATAGAATCCTGAACTTTTGACATTAAGTTTCATTTTCATTTTAAACTTCATTTTTTTCTTTTTATAAGGTTAAATTGTCATTAAAAAGGACGTATAAAACCGACGTCACGTGGTTGATAGACCCATCATGAAATTTGGTGCTCTATCTTTCCCTAACATGTATTTTGACACGTTTGGGCGGTAAAAGCTCAGTTTACGAGAGTGACATGTCACTGAAGTTTCCATCAGAAAAGTTACTGAATTTAATTGAATAAAATTCATTAACAACAAGACACCACAATAATGACAGTATATTATGAACAATCATACGATGCAAAGAACGATAACGACACATAGATACATAAAGGAAGAGTAATGTTCATTGAACAGCAATGGCTTTAAAATAATAGTTTTTATCTAAGAGTTAGTGAGACCTACATCTTGTGGGCATTTGAAATTATCCTCTAAATTTTTACGAAACATGCCCACAAGAGTCGTACATGATGGTCTTGCCTCAAATCTTCTTATAACTTGTGGAGGATTCACTATAGACCTGCATTGTCGGTCTCTGCGGCTTTCGTTCCACTTCTATGTCCAGGGCCCTGTCTATTAAAGAGTTGCGATTGATCCGAAACAATCGCAAGTCCTCCGACCAATCGCTAATGCAGTCCCCTATCTCATAAGTACACAATTGCGACTAGGATATAAATCGTTAATTAGTTGCGATTAATCGCAACTGTTTATAAGACGGGTTTGGGGGCCACTTTCTTCGTCTACATGCTGACTAATTCGAAATAGCACACATCTTAAGGGGGATAACATCCTGAGAGACATTTTGGAATTGAAGACGGATTGTAAACTTGGAAGAGGAAGACCAAGGAATAAGAATGGAAGAACTGAAGAAAGCCCTCGGTCCTGTTTCATAAAACTTGTTTTCTATAACAAATGCTAAAGTTCTATCATAATTTTGAGAGAGAGAGAGGGACAAAATAATTCATCCAAAAGTTATCTTCATGGTCGGGAGAAGCAGGAAATAAGGAGATTGAAACCTTATTAATGTTACCGCAAACATTCTATTATGGGGTCTATATATAGGTCTATGATAACATCCATATAGAATAGCTTTTAGGCGACCCCAAATTACTCACCTTCGGGAATTTCTTCAACGTCACGTTAGTCATCACGTTGCAATCTGTTTATCACATGATTTTGCTTTAAAAAATCCCCCCCCCCCATCCTGAAGGATTATCCGTTTTATAAAGTTGTTTTCCGACCCAGTTCCCTTTTTAGGGTTTTTACCAATTAGATTTCGATACTGCTTGCACAATAATCTCATCACGGACTCCATTTCTTTTATTGTGCATGCCGTATTTTACGTACATGTAAATTTATGCCTTTCCCATTTTCTGTCTCTTAACCATCTTTCAGGCTTTTTACTCGTGTGATGTTACTGAGAAATAATGTTACATCTCCCCCCTCACCCGCCTTACCCTTCCTCTCATTTTCCCTTCTAATACCCTTCTCTCTCTCTGTTTATTCCAACCATTCTCTCTCTCTCTATCTTTCCGACCATACTCTCTCTCTCTCTATCTCTCTCTCTCTCTTTCTTCAAAGGGCTTTCTTTCTTTCTTATTATATATATATATATGTCTTTTTAAATTTCATTTAGACAGTCCTGTCGATTCCTCTCCCTCTTCTTTCTTTTACCCTTCCCCTCTATGTTTCCCCATCTACTACCACGTCTCTCTTTCTCAACCATTTTTTTTCTCTCTCTCTCTCTCTCTCTCTCTCTCCTTTTTCATCCAACTGTTCCCCCTCCCTCTCTCTCTCTCTCTCTCTCTTTAACCATACTATCTGTTTCTGCCTCTCCCTATCTCCCTCTCCCCCCACCCCTCTCTCTCTCTCTCTCTCTCTCACTCTCTTTCCAGGACTTTCTCAATCTACCTTCATTATATTCATATAGACAGTTTAATGAATTTCATTGTCCGTCTCTCATCTACCAGTTGACGGTTCCTCAATACCCTACCCTACCCGTTCTTACTCATCCCATGTAAGACGATTAGGCATGTTTGGTGGTAAGTTCTTAAAACCCCTCTCCTACAAAAAGAGGTCCGTACAAATGCCTAAATCCCTCTCATTCCATTCATCCAAACCCGGAGAAACAAGAGTGAATTTGACCAACAAAAACTGTTCACTTTGCAAAGACACGATGCCCCCTTCAAAACCCTGAAAACGAAGACTCGAAAACATTCTTTTCAAAATGAAGACAATACCCGCAGATAATGAATGCGACACAGTTTTGCGGTGAAGCGTTAATTTTGTTAAATCGGCCTTTCGAAATTCTGGTATAGCGTGAACGGCGGATTAGCGGATTACACACGGGAGAGTTGTGGGGAGAACAATGAGCGTGTACTCGTTAACAAAGAAATACCTGCGAGGCGGAGAAGGGGGAGCAACTTCCCGTCCTTTTACTTTTCTATAGCATATCCTGTGTAGGCTGATTAGGGGGACGTGGGTTTCACTAAAGCCCTGAAACTCAAATTCACACCAGGTTTAATTACTCCATTTTGAATCGGGTGAAATCGCTTATTTCGTGGATTATAAACCAAGAAAGTAGTTCCAACGAGGATAAGCGTTTAATTCAAGTATAATCTTGTATTATTACAAGGTAATCATGTTTACTACGATGGAGAAAAGGGCAGTGGTGTGCAGAAATTAGGTAATGGCGGCGATGTGCTACATATGGATGCAATACGGAATTTCCCAAGAGTTTTAAGCTAGTCTAGACAAAAAGTTATTTCATCAAATATTTTGTGGGTGAAGAACTTTTTTTCCATTGTAAATATATGGGTAATAAATTGTTAGACTTTGATAATAAACAGCAGAGGAAAGGATATATTAAGAAAGAACGATATTTAGAGTTTGAGATTTATTCCACGTTCTCATAAAATACAGTAAATGAAATTCATATGCAAAACAAAAGTCTGAAGAAGAAGATGATGATGAAGAAGGAGAAAAAGAGGAGGAAGAAGAAGAGGAGGAAGAAGAAGAAGATAAAGAAAGGGGAATTGAAGAAGAAGAGGAAGAAAAAAAGAAGATGAAGAAGAACAAGAAAAGAAGGAGAAGGAGAGGGAGGAGGGAACCAAAATATTTTTTTAACTCCTGCAAACATTAAAAGGGAAGTCCACCCTGAAATTAAGTTAGTTTTAATAGGAGTAGAAAAATGAGAGAAACAAGTCAGTGAAAGTTTGAGCAAATTCCGATTAAAAATAAGGAAGTTAGGATTTTTGAAGTTGTGATCAATCAAACACAAATTGGCAACTCTATGACGTATCATGCGAGCTCAACTTCCATTTGCTCAGTACTAAAAATATCTAAAATTTTCATTTTCCCTCAAGAAAAATTTCAACCATACATGCACCCTAAATATAATAATTGCAAATATGTTTTCTATACTCCCCCTGCAAGGAACAAATATATATTCCGTCATCAATAACGAAGAAAACATGATTTTATGGAATATTATGCACAAAGCAAATGAAGGAGAGCTCGTATAATAAGTCACAGAGTTGCCAATTTGTATTTGATTGATGACTTCAATAATTCATAACTTTCTTATTTTCATTCAGAATTTGCTCAAACTTTCACTCACCTGATTTTCTTATTATTCTGCCTCTATCGAAACAAACTTATTTTGGGGGTGGACTTTCCCTTTAACAACGCAAAGTCCATTTTCAAACCACAAAACCTTACTTATCCACTTTTTTCGCGCTCTGGATCCCGATTGGCAAATATCAATTTCTGTCTTGCCAAATACATTGGTGCTTTATTGACGGCACTGGTGTGAAAAGATATGATGGTGTATTTAGAAGGCAGCAATAATAAATAAATTGCTTTGAATATAACGGTGTTTTACCACTATTATGCCAGACGACATTATATATATAACATAATCAATGATGACCCTTGTAAGGACGTTCATGTTTCGATCAAAGTATTGATTTAGATTGAAGTTCGATATGTACCGGGTGACAGTTACATTATGTTCGATATCAGTTATCTAATCCGTGATTTCATCCCGATACAGACGGAAATACTCGAATGATTTATTTTCACAAAACGATACTTTTTAAAAATGATGAACGTTATGCATGATTGCAATATATTAACAAAAGCAACAATCTATCAACTTTCTATCTAGAAACAATGCTTGCATGCCGAACACAGCATAAAAGACTATCCAGGTAAAGTTTGAGAATTCTTTTGGGGTTGTTTTACCAACGGAAATGCGCGCTTAAACAAATCGAACTTTAACTCCCCTAATCCTGAAAAAGGGACATGTAATCCATGAGAGCATATCGATCTCTTGCCCAGTTATATCGATCCCCGAGTCTCAAAGTCATTATCATACAATCGATATCGGAAAGCTGATTACGATGGCCGAACAATGCACGAATTTTGGCAACATTTCTTTTAACCCCGTTCCAGTTTACAAAATGGTTTTCGGTAAGCATGGAATTAGCATTGAAGGGCTTCTAGAGTGTTTTGAAAGTGTTTTTGAGGGATTAATTTGTTCAGGCTATTGGTGGGAAGGTAATAGGGGAAATTTTATGTGTGGCAACATATGTTAACAGTAAGTAGATTGAGGGAATTACAACTTTAAGTCGTGGTTTTCAAAGTTTAGAAGGTGCTATGTCCTACCTGAAACTCATTTGTGTACACAATAAGTCCATGAAGTGCCTTTAAACCTGGTGTAAACTGATTAGGAACTGCTGTCCATTTCAAAGCGGAATAAGAAAGCAACCACCAAATGGATAAGTACGGTAAAAGTAAGCCTTCAATAAATTGTAACCTCATCTGACATCTTATAAGATTACTAGATTAAAATCATTTTTTTTAAAGCAGTTTGTTATAAACTATGTTTTCACCAATAATGTATTGATAATCGCAATAATGGAAATGAGGGGCGAGAAGCTGCAACACAATAATACATGAAAGATAATATTTCATCTTCTCTTTCTACCTCTGCCCTTGTAGACCAATATACCGATTTTCTTCTTGTCCTTGTTTCTTCTTCTTCTTCTTCTTCTTCTTCTTCTTCTTCTTCTTCTTCTTCTTCTTCTTCTTCTTCTTCTTCTCCTCCTCTCCTTCTCCACTTCCTGCTTTTCTGATTTTCAAAAATATATAGTTTTTTGCTGCTTCATATCGTTCTTTTTCTTCTTTCTCTCTTTCTTCATCCTCTCATATCATAATAATCATCTTCTTCTTCTCCTCTACCTCCTCATCCTTCTTCTTTTGCCCCTTCTTCTTATTGTTCTTTCCCGGCTTCTCCTCCTCCTCTTCTTTCCTTTTCTCCTCTTCCTTCTTCTCTGTTCCAACTTTTTCTTCGTTTGCTCCTTCTTCCTATTACTCTTCCCCGTCTTCTCCTCCTCCTTCTTCTCCTCCTCCTCCTCCTTCTTTTTTCTTCTTCTTCTCCTACCTCTTCTTCTTCTTCTTCTTCTTCTCCTCCTCCTCCTTCTTCTTCTTCTTCCCGTCCTCCTTCTTCTTTTTCTTCTTTTTCTCCTCCTCCTACGCTTCCTCCTCCTCCTTCTTCCTCCTCTTCTTCTTCTTCTTCTCCTCCTCCTCCTCCTCCCTCCCTCTTCTTATTCTTCTTTCCCACCGTGTACTATTCCTTTGTCATCACCTCCACCTTCTTCAAATCACCTTGTTTTCTGTTACCCATGTTCCTATCGCCATGACCTACCCTCTCTTCAAACACATTTCTATTTGCTGCTTGCGATCATCGACCCGAACCCACTCTCGGAAGCCCGAAGTCCATTACGGATTTCCGAGTGGTGTTCAACAAGCGAACCGTCGTCGTAATGGTAGCGGACCTGAATTGGAGGACGAGATTCCAGCGGCGCGGAGAAAGACGCTAGTATCCCTCTCGCGTCGGCCAGCGCTGTAGTGTTGGGAGGTTCTTTATAGAACCTGACCCCACATGTTTAAGGGACTTTATCTATGTTTGAAGGAGAAAGGACAAGGAATAGAAATATATAAAGATGCTTCATAGAGTGAAAGCGGACACGAGTTTAAGAGAAGTAGAAATAAGTATAAAAAATGAAGAGGTTTTCATTCTATAAAACATCACAGGTCTGTTATTGTTGTGAATCAGATACATTCAGCCACATGCGCCAAATTAGAAAGTAAACCTATTTATTGCATCATCTTGGGTTACAATTTAGAAAACGAATGTATTGACCTTGATGCAGATGGTATTTCGTATAATTTATCATTAAACCACGATAATGATGATGATGTTAATAATTTAATGACAACAATGATGGTGATGACGATAATGATGCTGTTGAAATATCTCCGAACAACTGACGATGACAATGGTGATAGTGGTGATTCTAAGATATCTAAGCAAATATATCAATTGGAGCGTTGGCGAAAATGATTATGATATATATCAAACCTTTTAACATCGAAGAGTTGATTTTTTATATTCGTATAGCATATACTCTGTATTAGTTCGAAGTTCATTACTCTATTATTTTAAGTGGTTAAAAGGTCATATAATCGTTCTATTCCTGGCATGTATTTTCTGTTAATAATATTCTGTTTAGGCCTATGTCATTCAATTCAAAAGATTTGTAAGTAAAAGTGAAAACGTTGAATCATGAGCCATCTCAGCATCATGATCATAAACATCATCACAACAAAAATTATCATCATGATCATCACCATCATCATCGTCATCACCATCATCATCTTCAACATCAATGTCACCATCATCATCATTCCAATCGCTATCATGATCATATTCTCTATTAAAAACAGCATAAATTACTCCATCATAAATTGAATGTAACTTTGACCCCAAACCCCCATCTTGGTTTAACCATGGACCTGGTTTAACTGTGCTCAGTTATGTAAACATATCGAATTTCTCCCCACAGTCTGTCTAATTTATCGAACAAACATTTTCTAATCTCCCGCCCGAAACTAGGACATTCGTGCTAAGCTCCAAAAGACGTTGACCTGTGTAGGTTAACGCGTAGTCTGTTTAAAACTAAAGCATATGGCAGGTTAACAATACATGGCAATATACCCCCTGTTCTGCACACACAGAATTGTTACAATGAAGTTGTTACTTTGAACAGGTAGTTAGTGAGACAATTGCGCATGCGTTGTGGAACGTAACAAAGGCTTTCATACATGGTTGAGCGAGCTGAGTCCTGTAGGGGTTTTACGTGTAATGCTATTGTAATGTCATTGAGGGGAGAGAGAGAAAGAGGGAAAACGGGGGCATAATAACAGAGTGTGTATGGTTTCATTGGCAGTGTAGTCAGTTCGAGTTTTGGAGGGGTAGAGAAAGGGAGAGAAAGAATATAGCGCGATTCGGGACCAGTTACAGCTGTCTAAATACGGACTAGATATTCGCCGAGGCGAGTTCGCTCCCATCGCCTCGCTTTTTGCTTACGCCTCGTTAATTTACTGTCTCCGATAAAATTTCTTCTCCTAGCGACCAGCCAGCAATATTTCTTCACATTTTCTTCATCATCGTCTCATAACTTTGTACGGAGTGAGTCATCTAACATCAGTAATTCAAATACTACTGTTGGCTGTATACAGCGAAGGGGGGCTTGTGATAATAATACGGCTTCTACACACCAATGCCTTTTCTTTATCGTTTAAAAGAAGAGTAGGGATTTCGCGCTACCCAGGGCCCGATTTTGCTGGGGGTTGGTTGAGTCAACACTCGCTCGCTGCCAGCTGATTTTCCCGAGCTAGCTTGTTTCGTCGGGGAAAAAAAGGTAGTCGCTCGGAAGAAATTGGTCGCCAAGACGCGGAGAGAAGCTTCGTAGCAAAGAAATATCACCGGACGACACACACATCACACACACGCGTACGTACGTGCGCTAGAGAAGGCCATGAACTTGGAGTAAGCGGGAGAGACCACATTATCATTTATTATCATTTTCTTGGAGTTTAAGGTCCAGCGGCTCGCACACGCGAACGCCGCTAACCGCCTAGCCCAGTAGTACAGATGCTTTCAAGTGAGTTAGTTGGCTTAGAAACAAGTGGCGTTCTTAGTGATAGCGCTACTGCAGCTTCTCTGCATACCATACCTGATACCCATTCGTCTTCAGTAGCACCCGGCTTAAACCCGGGCGATTTCTTTAACGCCACGGATTTCGCGGTGAGTCGCCACTCCAGACCCGGTGGAGGTTTTTCCGGGTTTGGAGGCATGTTGGAGTCGGATTTTCGCGGGGCTTCGGCCGCCGACTATGGTATGGGGTCTGCGCTCGGCATGAATTCCTTCCAAGGAGCGCCGAGCATCAACAGCATGTCATCGGGGAGTTATACGACGTTAACCCCTCTGCAGTCGTTGCCGCCCATTAACACAGTGGCGGATAAGCTGAGACATGACACAAACGTTAGCACGGGATTCTCGTTAATGAACAGCTCAAACTTAGCCATGAATAACTATGATAAACTTGGAGGTATGAACATGGGAATGGGGGTTGGGGTCGGGGGATCAATGGCTGGATCAATGGCTGGATCAATGGCTGCCAATTCCATGTTGAACGGATACGGCCACCACCAAGCGATGGCTGGGTATGGTAGCCCCCATCACGGCACCTGTTCCCCGAGTGAACCCCGGTACGCAGCCTCCATGAACGGCTACGACCAATTCACTCACAACGCCCAACACATGCGAGGTTTCGCCCATCATCATCCCCAAAGAACTGGTCTTACAGCCCCGATGGTCCTAAATGGTCTATCGGGACACCCTCATCACGCCCCCTCGCCTTCGATCCCACCACCGGGAAGCCGCGGCGGCGAGAGAGGGTCCGTTTCGTCGAGAGACGGCGGGCAAGCCGGAGAGGAGATCAACACGAAAGAAATCGCAGCAAGGGTGACAAGTGAACTCAAAAGATACAGTATACCGCAAGCGGTGTTTGCACAAAGGGTCCTGTGCCGGTCTCAAGGAACTCTCTCGGACCTGCTGAGGAACCCCAAACCATGGAGTAAGCTAAAGAGTGGACGGGAGACGTTCAGGAGAATGTGGAAATGGCTTCAAGAACCCGAGTTCCAGAGAATGTCTGCTCTTAGATTAGCTGGTAAGTCAGTCAAAAACTTGAAACACACCTTTAAAACATTTTCTTTCAATTTTTCTAACACTGTACTTAGTATTGATGTTGACCATTTAATCACAACTAACTAAACCCCCCTCCCCCAGAAAAAATTGCTTTACCCAATCTTGATTCAATTTTGAAAAAGTAATAATCTCGATCCCATGTTAACTCAAACATTATCTTTAAAATGTCTTTAACTACAGTCTGTACAGAATATATTTTCCATGTATCTGAGATGTCTCATTATTTTGTCTTGTTAGTTCTTGTTAAATTTATTAGATTGTTGTTTGTTATGTTTTAAGAAATGTATCTCGATTTGAGAGGGAAAAAAAGACATTTTGAACAAATTTGAATATTTTTGCATTTCTCCGTAAGTCAATTAGTGGAATCTGTCAACAAATAGCTACATTCTGAAATATATCTTTCAAAGGCTTTATAGGCCTGTGTATCTTAATTCGATGCAGTTTTGTAGAAACTAATGATATTTACTATCTTGGGAAGATAGCAAACTTTCATCCGAAAATTGCCGCGGCACAGAACCACTATTTACTTATCACATTACATCCACAATCATGACCTCTTAAAAATGCCGACAAGGAGAGAGAGACAAATTCCAGACTCCCCAAACAAAAATAAACATCATGCTTGTAAATTTTACGCTTGAACTTTGCCACAAAGCCGGTCAACGATTTTATGTCTTAATAAAGAGTCAATCCAGTGTCTTTAAAAAAAGAAAATTCCCCTGGAATCGATCCGATTTTGACAGAAATCTGAAATCAATTTTCCCTCTTCGCCGCTCCGTTTTTTCTCCTTTCTTTTGGGCGCGTGTTCTAAACTTCCGAAACTTGTACAGCGCGTTTCGATTTATTGCTAAAATCTTTATCAATCTATAATTTCTGTTTACATTTTGCATTGCTCGTCAGGTTTAGAGTTTTTACACACTTGGAATAGTAGTAGCGGGGGCAAGTCACTGGCCTGCGTTCGTAGGTTTGTCATAAATCAAAACTCGCCGTCGCTGATTGAATTCTGCCGCGAGTGAGGCAAAATTAAGAACTGTTTTTCTTTAATCGCGTTAATTTTATTATGGCTTCGAGGCAGAATTTACGCAAAGCGCGTGTTTGACAAGTTCTCCATTTTTCTGTTTCTTCGTTGCGTGTTGTGCCCGTAATCGCTATGACACAGAACTTGTGCCGACAGTATAATTTTTCTTGGCTTCATCTTTTTATTAATTTCAAATAGAGAATATTTCTTATCATTCTTAAGTAAACTATATTTAACTTGAATTTAGTTAAAAACTGATATAGAGGAATGCATTGCTGTTTTTGTCTTTAACATACACAAAGCTCCTGTTTCCAGAACTCATTTCAATTACTTTAATTTAATATGATGGTACTTGTTACGAGTTTGCAAGGAATATATTTTTTCGGTTGTACAAACAAACAAATTAATATATTTCTGAGTCGAATATTTACACTTTTTATCTTTTCAGTTAATAATGCAACGAACTAGTCTTTATTCATCATCATGTTCGACTTCAGAAGGCCTATGAATAGTTTCAATATAGTAACCAAGGCAACAAACCGCAAATCTGTACAATCTCATTCAAATTTTCCAACACTGTAAATTTAATTATCATCTCCTCATTAAAATTGTTTGATTTTGCTTGACATATATCTTTAAATAGCATGGATGAAGTTTAAAGTAGTTCCATTTTATTTTATTTATCATAGATACTCACAGTTTACTTTGTAATATTATAAAGTATTAACGTAACATCGTGCATTTATATATTTGACGACGAACATTTTTTTCAGAATTGAATGTAGGCTGGTGCATAATTAAATTTAGGTGGATATTCAAAGTCGTGAATTACTATTTCTTTTGAATTATTAATTCTGCACAGTCTTTATAAATCGAGTAGACTTTTTTCCAATCTAACTATCCAAGAAAAACAACCCACGCTTTAGAATAATAAAACCAAATTCATAAAAGACGGGGAAATTAATTACACATCCGTCAAGACAAAAAGACACTCCTGAGCGAGCTATCAAGATACGCTTCCCCCGTTCCTTCACCGCTCGCTTCGCGCTCATGCCCGCTTTTACTTTTATTTCACTCTCGTTTTTCGGCGTACGGCATTCTCGAACCAATATTGTTTCTCCGGCGTTCGGCCGTGAGGGGGACTAATTTGACTATTCATACGTTAATTATGTGTCTCGTAGTGTTGGCTTTGTACATAGAAGTTACGCAACTGTGCCAATAAGTCCAGGCCTTTATTGCTTGTTTTCTGTCAACTTTTCGTTCATCATGGCATGAATGGGTTTCATTTTGGGAATAGAAAGTCTTGTATGACCTTATCCGCATTATAATATTGAGGAAGGCATTCACATTTGGAATAGCAGAATATTGTTTTAAGCATCACCATAGATTCAAATTTATTAGTCACAGTCTGCACTTAATATTATGGATATAAAAAAAAACATAATGAGAAAATAAAGTAAGGTACATGTAAGCTACATTTCATTGTGTGGAAAATATTCGCACATCATTCAAATGTGTTAGAAATGGCAATTGCTTTTTAATAATTCAATCTATTCTATCCATTCTCTTCAGCTCCATTTCTTTTTGAAAAATAGTTTTAAAATTAATTATACCTAATGAAAGTTCAATAATATATAGCCTACAATGCTTTATAATTACTGCAAACTTCTTATATGATTTCCTTTCATAAAATAAAAAAAAACTATATACCTATTATATTCCATTGATCCATTTCTCAATGAAATTTAGGCCTACAATAATGTACATAGATTCTGTAACTAAAATGACATCCGATTCATATCTCTGGATGTTTTGGATGAAACAGGTTTAAATAGTACAGTTTGAGCGGTCATATTTGCTGCCTGTAGTAAAATTAAAATCTGTCATCAATCATCTATTCCACACCGAATAAGATCTAAAGACATAACATAATATGTTAGGTACAGTGTTCAAATCACTCATCAGGCATCAGCCATCTACAGTACAACAACTACTTTGATTTAAAGACATAATGAATATGAGATAAAACATTTAAATAAAATCAAACTAAATTTCTTTCTTAGTTATAATTACCACTAATAGATAGGCCTACGTAAATGAATGTCTCTACTCATATATTTTGACATTCAGCATTTGACATGCAAGTGCAATGATTTTCAAGTTATTTTATAACTTAATTGATATGTAGTGAATAATGCCATAGCTTTTGTATATCAGTAGTCTCTTTAATTTGAAGACCCTTAAATCCATGGATTCAATTGTCCACCCAAATTCATCAAATTCCCCCCTCTTTTGCTATTCAAATATTTTCCAGCTATCTTGTAATAATGATTTAGTCGATTATATATTCATGATTAATAATATCTACCACTAATAAGAAATATAGTTTTAACACCATGTTGTGAAATATTCAGATAAAGATGATGTACTTGTGAGCTGGTAGCACATATGCATCTATGCAAATGAAGCAAGAGGGCAGGGGATCTTTGCATAGCCTGATATGTTGCCACTATAATTCAATTGGTTTTTGACGTAATACAATTATGGGGTTTATTTATTGGGTCTCTTCAGCCTTCCATCACTGTGTACAGATTTATGCCAGACCTTTGCAGTATGGGTGTGTGTTAAGAAAGGGGTCTATCCCAAAAGAAATGATTCATTTTTGTTATTTTGATGCTTTGTACAGTGTACAAAGCAAAAATAATGCTCCTTGAGGGAAATTGTTAATTATTCTTTGTGAGATATAATCCTTTTCTTTCGATGGAAGCCCATATTTCAGAGATTTTTCCATCAAATGCAACAATGCAGGACTGGTGTTCATATTATCCCCTGTTAAAGTAGCAGCCTTACTGTAATGTTTTGAATTGAATTGAATTATATGTATTGCTTTATCTGTCACTACAATATAAATTCCTCTGTTCTCCTGTTTTATTAAATGGATAAAAAAAATGTAGTTTCAGCAAAAGTACAAAGGAAATAATAAGTAGCCCTACAATATGATTAATAATACTTGACTTATGGAAAACTTTAATAGCTCACATGTATGATAATACAAAAATCACATGTCCAAGTGTGATCGACATGTACTTCAGTAGCATGCTGTACACGACATACAATCATTTTCTGTTGTAAAGCCTACAAGAATTGCCCAAGACACGTTTCATACATGACAGAGTCTCTCGTACATGCTTGAACAATGCGTACAACACGGGGATAGACCGTCAAATAATTGTGTTTCTAGACTACGCTTGTTATTAAATTCGGCACGCCGGTGCGACCGACAAGTGGTGTATTTACCCTGTTAATTAACAGGCTGAATATTCTGTAGTCCCACGCATGCCATTACAAGTACGGATTGGTGAGTTGAGATTTCAGGTTTATAGGAGGGATTCTCGTTAAAGCGAATTATCAAATCGCTCCAAATAATGCGAGGAATAGTGACAAGGGATCATAAAGCATAAGAGATTGTGTTGGGATTCTTTACAAAGGAATTAAGAGAATGGTATTTGAAATTAAAGAAACAGAATAGCAATTGAATAGATAATTTGCAAAGAATAGATCTTCTTTGATTAATAGATTCTTAGCATCTAGGTAAACACATTAATATTCTGTCACCCAATTCTGTGAAATAATTGACAGGTATGTAGATCAACCTCCTTTTCTCAATTGCCCTCTCCCTTGGATAGGAAGATCAGCCGTAGGTCCCCTATGATCTACATTTAGGCCTACACGTCTCTCTATAGATACAAAACTAGTTTTGTTAAATGTTACCATCCATTCTCTGTTAATGCATGGATAAAACACGATGGATTAATTAGTTAATAACTGTTATAGGTAGGAGGAAATGATGAAGAGAATAGTAGCTGTGCTGCATAGATGGGAGGACGAAGGATGCATTTAACACAGGGAGATTTAGAGGGATCGAGAGGGATCGAGGGAAGGAG